TCTCTCTCTCTCTCTCTCTCTCTCTCTCTCTCTCTCTCTCTCTCTCTCTGCTGTCTGAACGAATTCGTCGCGACTTTGCTCTTGTCCTTTCACTTAATCGTTGCTAATAACATCGTGCCGCGTGTTGCAACTTTCGTCGAATGTTAAGCCAACTTACGACAGACGATATCGCATCAACAAATTTTTCTCTCTGTTGCAGCAATATGCGAGCAAGCATGCCGAGCAGAGTCCTTTGGTGGAGCACATGAATACGAAGTATTATTACTACACGAGGACTCAGGGATTATTCAGGATATGTTATCCTAAAGAAAGACCACCGACAGGTATGTCAAAAATCTTTAACGAGAATTGCATGTTCGATGAGAATATACTCACTTACCAAGCACAGTGAGTAATCATTGTAATTGATAATAATTGCGCGATATAAGACCGACTGTTACACACTAATAAAACTTTTGATTGTACCGCGAATTTTCTTCGATTGAATGAAACTTACAAGAAACGTTTAATGTTATTAGTCTGAGAGAGATCTCAACACAAACTGCAGCTTCATGATCATTTATAGTGCACGAGAGAAAATACTGTTGAATTGATAGAATTAGTCAACAGTGTCGTGCTTGGAGTAAATCTTGTTGATCCATTTGAAACTAATATTCGAGCCAGACTGGATGACGAACTCCAAAAATGTCGATAACGCAGAGACGATTATCACAACATGATCACGCTGTATATAACGTAATCTACGTTCTTTATTATAAACTTACAAACATTTAAATATTTCCTCCGAAAAGTCTTGTCATTAGTGCTTAACATATCTGTGAACTAACTAATCGATGAATTTGTTTTAATAAGTCGAATGTCAGTTTCGATTACATTGCTGTTTGAATCAAGAAAATTTATTCCAACTATGGGACACTATTGGATAATTCTGTACATTCAACAGCATTGTTCCCATGTAATTACTGATTATTTCATGATCTCATACGCCTTAAGACAAATCACTTTTACAAGTTTTCTAAATGCTTTGTAAAGTAAAGGTATCAATTGCCAGACACGTAGCTAATCCTGAGCATTCTTATTGTGTTTTTAAATACGAATATTTAAACTTTTAACATAGAATATATTTACATATTCAATACTTGTACGTATAATTTGTGTTGAAAGTTAAATGTTTGTATCTAAAGACCACAAAGCAAAAAGAGTGTCCAGGATTAGGTACATGTCCGGGAATTGGTACTTTTACTTTAGATAACACACGGTGAGACGAATGTATACACGGTTCCATGATATTGCAAATACGCCCGCGCAAAGAATCGAGCTGGCGTCTTATCCGTGTTAGATCTAACGTTCCCGATTATGCCGCGGACCGACATCGACAAATCCACCCGAGTTGCTCGTCCAGCGACACCTCTTACGCGGCCTTTAGCAAACTTTCTACGTTACGATCTCATAATGTCGTAGGTTATCCGATCCCACGTAATAGGTTAACAGTTTATAATCGGCGCGCACAATCTTCGGAGAAAGGTGCATTTTCACCTGATAGCCACGGCGCGATGCTTCGCGTCGCTTTCTCATTTTGCGATCCATTGCTGCGTACAGTTCAGCTTTATGCTCTTACATGGAAAGTATTCACACAATAGGTCGTAAAGATGAATAAGACCAAAGGAGAAGCTGCTGCCTTTCCTTTTATTTATCGAGGCGAACACGTGGAGAAGCATCGATGAAAACGTTAAAGTATTTGTTTATACGCCAAGTTTCAAAGGTATACGCTATATTACTCGGCGTAGAGAAAATGTTCTGTAAACATATCGACGGTAAAAGGTAGCGAAAACTGTATAATTATATGTTGCTGTGTGCACACACATGTGCATGATTGCGTTAGCTGCTCCAGTAATGATGACGTTCACGAGAAAACGCGTACGCCTTCATAAGGCAAGTTGTCTCGTATACAGGGAAAATATTTTAGTAAACATTACAACAAAACTTTGGACGTAATCCTTGGACGAGAATTATGACCGAAATTACAAATGCATATTTATTAAACTGTATATTTGTTGTATAAAATGCACGTTTTAGTTTTCAATATTATTATACTGAGAAAAAAATTTACTAAATTTAAAAAAAAGGTTTGTTTGGATATTACTGTGAAGATATTTGTTTAAATTAAATAATTATTTTCTAAAATTAAATAAAGAAGTTTTAAATATAAATTTGTTTCTTTAATTTTAGAAAATAATTATTTAATTTAAACAAATATCTTTACAGTATTATCCAAACAAATATTTCTTGAAATTTAGTAAATTTTTTTCTCAATGTACATTTCAAAATTATTACAATTATTTGAATGTTTTTTTTTTAGATCATATACACTGAGGGAAAAATTACCTTAAAATCAACAAATATTTCTTCGATGGGTGCCATTAACATATTTATTTAAATCTAAATTCTCTTTATATAAACCAAATATTTAAATATTTATTTATTATCAGGTAAACAATATTTGACTTAAATAAATAGAATTTAGATTTAAATAAGTATGTTAATGGCACCCATAAAAAAATATTTGTTGATTTTAAGATAATTTTTCCCTCAGTGTATCAGGTAGATCGTCGAATTCATTATTTCTGTACTAATTTGTACTCGAATTTCATAGTCCAGCTTCAATTTAATAGCCCAGCTCTTTACAAAAATCATTATAAAATGGAATATAATTTCAACATATTTTTAACTACAATATTTTCTCCGTGTAGCAAAAGTAAAAGATAATTCCTACGAAATATGATGCGTGCTTTTACTCTGAGATGAATATTCTTCCTATCATTTGCAGACTTTCTCATAAGATTCGAGTTCTTCATAAATTCTTAAATAAATGTGAGATATCTTATTAACTGCGAAGCAAGTTCGGCGAGTAGGAGAATATTAAAAAAAGTTAATCGTAACCAGTCCCAGGTAACACACATCGGGAACGTCCGTTAGCCGCTCGCAAAAAAGGAAAATCTATCGTGTGTACGACCGTGCGCGATTTTCCAGACGCGATTTCGAAGGAAACGTCTGAGCAACGATGGACATATGGAGTATTCCGCCATCGAGCAGAACCGATTTGCGCGAAGTTTTTACACGCGTGCTCGACCGCGAGAATCCTCGCCTTAAATTATTTAATGCACAACGCGACTATCCCGGTTCGAGAACTTGTTTTTTCTTTTCCTTTTTATTTCGGACTGCTGGGTGGCTTTTTTCTCCGGAACGCACCTCGACGCCTCGTAAGTGGACCGTTGCGATCGCGGTCGTTGCGAAACGGCCGACGTGCCACGATCGATCGACCGATCGCCTGCGTGTTAATGCCTCGCAAACACAAGCCGTGTCCGAGATTTTATTGACCGCGTGAGCGAAGAAAAGTTTCCTCCAAAGTTGCACGATTAACGAAGTAAACCCGCCGGCAATGTGTGGTACTGAATATCACGGGACTGAAGTAATCCGTGTCACATAACAGGATGAACGCGTCTAGATATGCGGCATCCTCTGTCTCTCTTTTATTCTCAAAGACCGAAATAATTTTTATCGCCCTACTTGGAAAATAATTACATTTATATTAAATTTTCCTCTAAAAAAAATGTAGTGCAATCTCCAAATCTTATTCCTTTAATTAATATGTACTGCGATTTCAAAACACCTGGATCTTCTTTGACAAAATTTTATTGTAATGTCTGAATCTTTTTTGTCATTAGCGAACGTACGACGGCTATTTTTTCGTAGATAATTTGTGAGACAAAGTGAACGGAGAAAATATTGTTAAAATTATATTTTTTCCACAATATTTATAAAATTGGGCTATACTGAAATTGTAGAATAAATTGCTATAGAGACATTTGACGATTCAACTTGATGTACAATATAAAACACATTCAAGTGATTACAATAATTTTGTAGTAAAGAGTCAAATGTGTGCATAACGTTCTTCAACAAATATATAACAATTTCGATTACAATTTGTCCAGAGTTACAAAAATTCGACCGTAATGTTTACTATAATTTCTTATATTTTCTTACATTATCTTTCATTTTCTCCGCGTGTGCAATATATCAATTTACATTTAAATCCCGCGTTTGTAGAAATAAACACCTGCGCGCTCGCGCGTGCCTGCGTCTTGATGGACGTTACACACAAGGATGTAATAAACTTCTGCTCCTTGTGCGTGATTTCACATCATGTATAATGCTCTATGGCTCGGAACGCCTTTCCTACCGGCAACTTTCTATGGTAATGACGCACACGCAGTATGTCCTCCACTAAAGTTCAGTAACGTATCAAGTATTTTTAGTGCGACACTAGAAATTAAATTATTGATGCTCTTTGCATCATGGGTAAACTATACTGATAAAAAAAATGTTTTGTCAACTATAATTACATAGAGAAAAATAACTACTATAAATCATGATTGAGTAAAATATTTTTTTAATTAAATTCTATTATAATGTTAGTGATTATAACCTTATATGTATGTTACTACTAACATTTTCGTGTTAGACCAATCAAAAAATATATATATGGTTGGTGCAATAAGTAATTATAATTTTAATTAGACCAACGATTTTTTTTTCAATGTATTGTAAAAATTACAGCAAAATTTTTGTAAGCTTGAACTGTGTACAGAATTATAACCAAAATTACTATATATTTATTTAAAAATGTTATGCACGTTTAACTTTGCAGAAAAATTATTGTTATTACTTGAATATTTTTATATTATATATTCAAGTAAATTATCAAATTTATTATTTGTATAATAATTTACAATATAATTTCAATATAATACAGCTTCACAAAAAGTATTATAAAGAGGAATATAATTTTGACGTAAGTTTTACTACAGTATTTTTTCCATGCAATCGGAAAATGCACTTGCTATCAGAAATAAGATCAAAAGATGTAATGATATGTTTATAATTAGTTTACAATTATGGAATTAGTGCAATTAAATTCATAATTAATGTAATTATCTCGATTAATTAATTTCATAATTTCACGTAACGGCTACGATTAAGCTTTGTCAGGTAGCGTGTGATGATTAAGTGAATTCCGATACGAATCTGGGCCAAAGTCAATTAAGATATTAAAATTGGTCTCTATTCAAATTGGTCTCTTTTCTCTCAAGGATCTCTCAATTTCTCCCACGTTGTCTAGATTTAACCGTGACTTAATTTTCTCCCTGCTTTCCTCCAGTTTATATTCCAGTTTAAATAGAGACGTAAAGCAGATAATTGAGCAACAAATAATTAAAATATCATATTACACGATCGAGACGAATTAGCAATACTTCATATT